GAGGATTATACTTCGAGGACAAGATAAGGAGTTTAGTTTTTTCTTTGTTAAGTTTAAGTTTATTTTCAGTCATCCAGTCATTTATTTCACAGAGACAGGCTTCAATTCTTTTTATAGTTAAGTCAATATAATTAATATAATTAATATAGTTAATGTTGTTAGATGACATTGACTCGCATTACAGCAACAAACTTCTGAGCTGTACTGCATAAGGGGCTAGGGACAATTTAAAGAACCATAACACACCAGTTTCACATTTGATGCATATGGCTGTTTTTGAAGACCACAAACTTGTTCATACAAGCTTAGCCTGATTTATGAGTCAGCTATTGAGAGATACCATTAAGATACCATTATAAGATTTATATTTGTATGGTTCAAGCTGCACATTCTTAACATTACTTTTAAAAGTTGTTTGCTTTTAAATTAAGCTAAGCCTGTACAAATGAGTCTTTACTCAGAAAACACAGCTGTATTTTTAGTGAAAAAGAAAAGAAAGTATTGCCATTCCATTGGGGAAACACGTGTTTTATTCCCAGTTGTTTAGCATTATTATGAAAACAATTATTTTATTCTGTTACCTCAGTACATACACGCATATGGGCATCCATGTACACCAAAGGGCTCCCAGATATTTTGGATTTTTCCTGTGATATGACTGAAACAAATTTGGGATGTCGTCATGACCAGCAACTGAACAACTACATGCATTTTAAACACTTGCCTCAACAGAAATGTCCAACCTAGACTGACTTCAGATATTAATCAATTCATAATTCATTATTTCCTCAAATTTCAATTTCCCCTATTTATTTCAGGTGATGAACAATAGCTGGAGATGATTATGAGCGAACTTACTCTGCTCTCCCAGTCTTGTTATTAACCATATTTGCTGGTATGTTACATGAAAATAGCAAACATTCTTGAGCAAAACATGTCACTATCTGCTGTGGGAGGTTTTATGAGTGCTGAAATATTTTGGATCTAAACATTCAAATTTTACTTGATTTTCTCTAAATGTCATGTCTGTGTATAAAATACTCAAGGTTTAGTGATGTATGGAAACATTACACCTGAAAATAGCACTTTGATGGAACCTCCCATGCATATTTATGTACTTGTTAAGACAACTTGAACAGGAGAGTTATTATCTTTTTGACATTGAACTTAATAGTTTGCTTNCATCCATTTCTTGTATTCGAGCATCAATTTTTCTTAATTGTGGAGCACTTAAAATACCTTCGTTAATCCAAAGTTTGAATACAAATTTAGCTGTACCAAGAAATAAATTGTGCATGGGATCTATGGCACAGAACCGTATTGCATCGAAGTATTCAAGGTCCAATAACGAAGAATAAAATGATATACCATATTTTTTTGAGAGCTCTTTAGCCTTGACTTTTGTTTTGCATGTTTAAATTTTTTTTGCATATTTTCTGTGATTTCTATTTGTTCTTTTTTCCCATTTCGTACGCTCAAATCCTGAATAATCTCTAGATTCTYCAAAAGAACCTGAAAATTTCTTTAAACATCTGGAGCAACCCAGYTCTGCAGAATGACCCTTCAATCCACATAACTTTCTTGCAGCAGGAATGTCAGAGGATGTACAGAGAACTGCAGCWCGGAACTTAAGTGGTACACTAGTAATGCTATTGTTCATGAAGATTCCTGACCATAATGCATTTAGCTCTTCAACTGCTGGGTTTAAAAACTCATTCAATGTTTTAGGTTCATTTTTCATTGATGGAATTATACCTACCACRATGACATTTTCCCACTTAAATCTTTCTGATCTTGGTAAGTTTAAAAGWACAAGGTATAATACTCCAACCGAATAGTCCTTTCTTCGTTTCATTGGTTGAAAGAAATCAAAGTTTAACATAAGGCCATAATTTCTTGGGGCATCTAAAAAAGGTTTTCCATTGAATGTTTTRAAGTCTTTCCACAGTTGGCCATCATAGATGTCAGTCATTAGTGAACTACCAATATCCCTTTCTCTCCATTCTTCACATTTCTGAGGAAAACCAGCTTTCTTCAATACATTTTCCAAAGGATTGATTATCCCATTATAGCAATAATAATGTATAGGATAAAACTTGACATTATTGTTTTTTAGTGTGACCTTCTTTACAAGTGCACTATCACACTGATGGGGTCGTCCTCTTAAATAGGTAATATTGGTGCAGTGCCTGCCAACTTGATGACCATGGACATCAAATGTCAGACATTCATCATTAATTGTAGCACTTTGTGCATTTTGGACAAACA